CGGGGCCGCGCTGGGGCGGGGAGGCGGGGCACTTCCCTGTTCGGAGGGAGCGCCTGTGTTCCCGGACACGGCAGCGGGGGGTTGTCCTCGCCCCGGCGCTGCCGAGGGCTCTGCCGCTGCCGGGGGCACCGGGCGCGGCAGCACCGTCGGCTCGTTTAACCGCTCTCTGTTGCTGCGGCAGTGGAACAGAAGGTCAGATGTTCGCTTAGAATTAAGTGGTGCCGTGTTTGTAGAAGGTAGTGATGTCCGCCTCCGCGTAACTCCTACCACTCAAATGACACCGGTGGTTTTTCATTAAGGAGGCAGTTCAAACTTGCCCGCGTAACGGTTGTCCTTTATATGCATATCAAATGACTATTCGCAGTAAAATATAATCCTAAAAAAAAAAAATCTCAAGTTTCCTATAATCTTTACGCTATCCCCTCCTCTTGTCTGAAAAAGTTTCTACTGTAACCTGAGTGTTCAGCAAAGACAGCTGGTTTCTGTCAAATATCTGTCAATGGGAGAAAAAAAAACCAAAACACCTTTGATTGGTGCTTACCCTGATGCGCTATTTCTGAAAGATTTCCTGAAAACACAGGTGATTTGTGGAAATTATTACCTTATCTTTGGTTCGTTCTAATGTCTGATACGACATTCATACTTAATGGGATGATACTATCTGGAGAAGTACAGATAGTGCAGTGCATTCGCATTGCTTGAGGAAACACTTTTTAAGTCTGAAAAGGTCCAAAGTTCCTAAAAGTTTCCTAAAACTTCAAGTTTTTTTTATTTCCAAAACATTTGCTTCTAGATAGCTACCCCAAAAATGAGTCTTACAAAAAGGGGCAGTTTCCTGATGCAGAATCCAGACATACGTGATGGTGAGAAGTGGGGTAAGGAATGGGGGCACGTATTAATTTGTTTACTCTTGATAACAAATTGAACCGTACAAGGTGAAGCCCAAGAAGGACAGACAGTACTTTCATTTCAAACCTGACTGTTTACAAATACATTTTGTGCGTGGTCCCAAGTTTGCTGTACCTTCCTGTTTCCACGTAGGCTCTGCGGAGCCACTTGCCATCCTTCATCCATTAGCAGCCCTTTGGTGATGAAGAATGGAGAGGCCCAAAAAGAGAGTGTCGGTAGAGCTGCTGAAGGTCTTTCATGTAAAAGCAGCTGGAGTTTTGGAGCCAGATGATCACTCTAAAACAAAGGCTCATCAGGGTTTCTGTTAAGTAAGGTATACCATACATTTATTTAAAAAAAAAAAAAAAAAAGACATACTGTTGTATCTCAAAGTGGCCCATTTGCTGTTGAATCGTGAAATTAAGACAGGGAAGTGTTAAATCCCTTACTTTTGGCTCAACATTTTAAGAAAGAAGCTACTTTATTACAAAATGTGTTGTATATTCCAAATATTTTCAGGTTAAAAATTCTCAAAAGATGCAGTTAACATCAATGTGACATAAATAAGCCATTGTGTGAGCCGGCACAGGCAGGATGCAGGAACGAGGACATAACCATAGAAGAAATGCAAAGAGGAAATTTATTTTTGTTACCTTGCCAACCGGGGCATCCCTGAAGCAGCACCCGGGCAGAGGCACACAAGCAGGGATGCAGGCACCGTGGAGCTCGGTCCACGCTAGAGGATCACTAAAGCTGCTGTTCTTGCCTGTGTAGCAGGGATTCACACAGGCATAGTTTACCACTGTGGTTTGATCTTTCCCACAGCAGGGCGGGGAACTCAAGCGTGTCTGATGGGGTGCCTCTAAATCTATCACAGGCCTATGTTATCTAAATGCAGATCTTCTACTTATCAAACACACAAGACTAAACGATTAGTACAATATATGTGTTTTTCTGTACTCCAGGTGCAAGTCACTTGAGTGTGTTTACAATCCTCCTTGCCAATCTTCCATTATTTTCCCACAGCCATGAATATATTAAACTGAAATGCCTGATTTTACAAGGGTCATTGTAGATTTACGCAACGCTTGTTGATGCTAATCATAAAATGTTCCAGGGTTACAGAGAAAACCTGTAAAATATATTGCAGAGGATTGGCTTGCAGAGACATTTTTAAATGTCACTGTTAAGATTCATGTGGAACTCCTATTGGCTACAAACACATAGTCTGTATTCTTACTGTAATGGATTGTCATTTACATACTAATGAATTTTTAATCTTTAGATTGTATAAAAACAATTACATTCTAGATTTTTTTTATAACACATTACAGTGAATAACAAAATATTTTCTTAGGTTTTGAATCTAATACTGAATTCTCCTGCTAGTTTCTTCAATGTTTTTGGCTCCCAGATCATTCAATAAACATGATAAATTGAGCTTTAAAAAAAAAAAAAAGTATTAGGGTCTTTTAAACTTCTGTTCATATTGTTGAAAGTCCTGTCTTTCACACTTCAGAAGCCTTTGGATATTATTACATGTACAATGTGTACAGGTGCAGATAAAACCTAATGAGATGCAATATGCAAGTCTTATTTTCAGGATAGAATTATAAAACAAAGCAAAGAACAGTTCTGTTCTGTCAAAGGATCTAAATAATGGATCTATGGTACCAACATGCACTTTTGCTATTTCCATCTCCAGGCTGCTGCTATCCTTTTCTTTCATTATCCATTCCTACTCCACAAGGCTTAGGATTACTTCGAGGCAAGTACTAGTTACCTATGAAGAAGTTAATCCTGTTTGATAGGTGAGTAGAAACAAAAACGTGTGATGTTTTCACAAGAAGGGAAAAGATAGTCTGCTCCTTCTGTGTTAGGGACTAGCTAGCTAATTCTTAAAATCGAATGATCAGTGTCAAGGGAGCTATAAGGTATTTCAGATAGCATCAAATATAAGCCCCTCACCCAGACAGCACAACAGAGTTACCTTTTCGCCAGATCCCACAGCTTTGAATACCTTTGCAGCAAGGTATTAACTGCAGTTCAGCTTGGATCGCACGTTATATACCTTGAAGTAACAGATGAAGAATTAGATGCTCCGAGGTTATAGAGCCTAAATTAGAGACTTACATACAGTAAGAAAGCCAGCACCAGTCCTGACAGCTTCTCCAGGAATACCAGGGGCACATGGAACTCCTGATGGATAACCCTGAAAGACAAAATTAACTTATCCTTAGGAAAGAACAGTTCTGAAAATTAAATATGGACCTCACACCACTCCAAGATAAGATGCTAGAGAACAGTGTGAAATCCTGTCCCAACTGTCATCTCCTACAACCTACCAAATTAATAGCCCTGTTTTCATGGCCTTTATTCTGACCAGGATTGCACTCAGCTACACTGAGGGCTGAAGTTTGACAAATTGCTTCCTGAGTATGAGGTTTTGAACTTCCACAGAAATACCAGTGAGCAGCTTCAGCATGAACTAAATAGTGAAATTACTGAGGGGTTTGATGAGCTGCACAAATCAGCGTTGTATCACATGAAATCATCCGAACTGCACCGCTGACGGAGCTGCTTGGTGTGCTGCCTGCACTGCAAAGCTTCCCTGCTATCATCAGGGAGTTGGCCCACGATGCCAATCCTAGCTGTTTGAAAACTCGGGTACACCTGGAAAAGCCATAACAACTTTTCTGGATTGCCTTAAAGTCAACCTTGTAATAAAATTCAGCAGAAAAGAGTAGTACCAACGCAGTCTGCAGCCTGCCCTTGCTGGCAGCCAGCCAGCCTGCTCTCCCAGCTCTGCCTCCCCCAGTTGGAGCCATGCGTTTGAATGGGTGCCGGGGCAGGAACGGCGCTTGCCTGGGCTTCAACTTCCTCTTGTAGCAAAGTGAAGCCCTCGGAAGAATGACATTGTGAAGTTGTTGATACTGAAGTCCGTACTGTTTACAGGTCCACGTGTTTAATATCCACTCAAAAAAACCCCCGACTGTCTATCAAAATGTATTACCCTGTTCCAATGGAAAAAAACCACTAACCTAAAACTCCCACTTTCTCTTTTAGGGCCTTTTTTCCTCTCATAGCGTGGAAGGGCAGAAAGGACATTGTGTATCAGACTGTAAAATGCAAAAAATTTCTAAAGATTACTTAGCTTTTCTCCTTATGATATTCATGTAGTCTGTACTGGAGCTGCTGGTATCCATGTACGTCTCTGCAAAGTGAGCTGTACTTAATCTAAACCAGACAAATCTGATCACGGTAATTTGTGCATGCATGAATCCCAAGACTGGGCATTAAATGTGAATCCTTAATAAAGAAAACAGAAATGAGTAAGCGGAAGTCACTTTCGTAGCTTTACATACTCTGTAGCCTTTCTCTTCTAAGTCCCAAATAAGGTCTCCATTTCAATATTCAACTTTCCATAAACAAAAAACCCTATTATTCTAGCCCTGCACTGAATTTCACGTAGACACCAGATATGACAAGGATTTGGGGATTTCATGTTGCTAGTTTCCTCAGGTACATAAGAACCGAATCTAAAGCTGACTAGCATTTTTCCACACATCTGCATTGAGTCCCCTAAGAGGATTAATACCAGACACCAAGAAATAGGTTTTAAACATTTTTTTAAGAAATAGGTATAGAATTCTTTTGACATGGTTGGGAAATTAGAAATTCATGGTAGCATCTGATGCTACCTTTCTTTTTTAAGAGGAATATAACATAGTTATATTTAGCTCAGTTCAGACTTATACACAGAAGCTTAGATTTTATTGCCCAGCAAACATGACTTTTTGACATAGGGACGAATGTTATTTCTTAGATGAGGATGTCTTCATCTGAGAACAGAGATAGCAGCATATCTCTTCCTCTTCCTTTCAGGCATTTATCAGTAGGAAAAAAAA